ACTAGTGGGAAACAAGGAGATAACACTATTTACTTAGGGAGATTAACTCATGCCAAGGTTTGATGTGAAGGACATCTACTTCCCCGGGACAGGAGTCACGTACCCCCTTCCCCCGCCACGAGATAGGGACCCCTCCCAAAAGCTTGTGGTTTTTGTCTTTAAAAGCTGATTGTAACTGAACCTCGGGGCCAATCGGTCTAAAAGCTGACCGAGAGGCCCATCTGCAGATGCCTAATTAAAGCCTCTTGCGTGTTGCATCAATTGGCGCGTGGACTCTTGATTCTTGGGGTGACAAATCCAGCCTGGGGACCCTCCTCAATTCGGGATACCCCAACAATATAAGGACATATAGGCTCTGAGGGCTGGAGATGCAGCTCCAATACAGTATACTCTAAGAGAGGAAGACTTGGGTTCAATCCCAGCATAGGAAACCAACCAACTAACCAAATAATAATAATAATAATAATAATAATAATAATAATAATAATAATAATGGAATCATGTCCTAGCTGTGAAAGAAAAGACTTCTAGAATATTGTCTTTAAAAACTAGAATTTTTTGGTGTGTATGCGTGTTTTACCTTCATATATATGTATGTATGTGTGTGTGTGTGTTCTATGCTGTGTGTGTACCCGTCACTTTTGAGGATAAGAGGAGGGTATAAGAGCCCCTGGAAATGGAGTTATGGATGGTTATAAGCTGCTGTGTGGGTTCTGGGAACCAAACTCGGCTCCTCTGCAAGAACAGGAAGGGCTCTTAACTGTTGAGCCATCTCTCCAGCCCCTGAAAGAGAAGGGTAGTTATGGCTAGGTATGGTGATCTATAAATTCCAGCCCCTAGGAGGCAGAGGCAGAAGGATCAGAAGTTCAAAGTCATCCTCAGCTACACAGCAAGCTTGAGGTCAGCCTGGCCTACGGAAGACAAGGTCTCAGAGCACAGGCAAACAAAACCAGGTGCTTTCCTGCTGTCTCTGAAGGATTTGGAATAGATGCACCTGTTTCTCAAGAGCCACTTACACACCGTCTCTCCCATCGTCCAGCATACACCTTTCCTGCACCCACTCAGGCATCGATTCAACAGATGACGGCCATCCCCGTCTCCTCAGCCTCCCCAGCATGTGGAGGATGGCTGTGTTCTACATCAGCCCAACAGAGGAACTCCAGCCCCCAGTTGGACCCGGAAAGTTGCCTTAAGAGGGCGCTGTTGCAGCCCAGAGCAGTCAGGACAAATTCACCATCCAAGTTGTCCATCACAGACAACACTGGCCACAATCTGCGTGGCTGTTCAGACATCACCTGCCTCCTCTCTGCCTGGTCTCCCATCCACTGTTCTTCACATAAGGCAACCAGAGTGGGGCTTAGGCCTTCTGCATTAGCCCAAGAGCTGCACTGGGCACCAACACCCCTTCGCCACTCACGTCCCTGGTCACGTGAATCTTTTCTTTCCTCTTTCTTTCTTTCTTTCCTTCCTTCCTTCTTTCTTTCCTTCCTTCTTTCCTTCTTTCTTTCTTTTCTGTTTTGCTTTTTCCAGACAAGGTTTCTCTGTGAAACAGTCCTGTCTGTACTGAAACTCGCTTTGTAGACCAGGCTGGCCTCGAACTCACAGAGAGTCACCTGCCTTTGCCTCCTGAGTCCTGGGATTAGAGGTGTGCGCAACCACCGCCCAGCCTGACACTGCCGTCTTAGCACTTCCAAACCACTGGTAACTCTCCTGTCCCTGTCCCTGTCCCTCAGCCCCTCTAGACTTCCCATGACCCTCCTCCAAATTCCATGGTCAACAGTTTCTCCTGCTCACCCAAAGACACCTCCTGGCTCGCTTGTACCTGCTCACAACTCACCTGACAGACCTCATCCCAAGCTGACTAACCAGCTGCCTTCTCTGACACACACAAGTAACTGACAGCACAGGAAACCATGCTACAGCATAGACTGGCATGCTACAAACCCACCAAGCTCAGCCTCAATGCACATTTCGTGTTCAGCATCAACTCAAGACCTATTAGTGAATCTAGCAGCCACCTCTGGAAACTGGCTCATGGCGACTTAGCATGCTGCATGCAGCTGAAGCAATAACATGAACAAAGGAGTCAAGACCATGATGGGGAAACCCAAAGGGTCAGCTGGCCCGAGCTACTGAGAAATCCCGGACTCCTGTCTGACAAATGGGGAACCTGCATAAGACCGAACTAGACTACCTTAATATAGGTGACAGTGGTGTGGCTGGGGCACTATTTGAGGTCATTGGCAGTAGGTCCAAGATCTAACACTAATGCACGAACTGAGTTAGTGGAGCCCATTCTATATGGAGAGATACCTTGCTCAGCTTAGACATGGGGGTGTGCTTTGGTCCTGCTTCAATGAGATGATGGGACAGACTTAGACTTCTAGGGGAGGCCTTACCCTCTCCAAGCAGATGAGAGGAGTGAGGGAGGAGCAGAAGGAAAGGAAGGAGGGGAAACTGGGATTGAGATGTAAGAAATAAATTTAAAAAACAAAAAAAGAATAAAAAAATTTAAAAAGATACTTGGTATTCAGGGTAGCTCAGATCTTAACAGGAAAACAATCATATTCTATTAGAATTAACCTACTGGCCTTGGTACTGCATGCCTGTATCCCAGTACTCAAGATGCTGAGACAGGAGGATTGTGAATTTTAGGTCAGCCTAGATTACATAGTGAAAGCCTGTCTTAAAAAGTAAGAATAGCCAGGCGTTGGTGGTGCACACCTTTAATCCCAGCACTCGGGAGACAGAGGCAGGCAGATCTCTGTGAGTTTGAGACCAGCCTGGTCTACCAGCTAGTTCCAGGATGCACTCCAAAACAATACAGAGAAACCCTGTCTTGAAAAACAACAACAACAACAAAAATGTAAGAATAGTTGGGCTGTGGTGGCCCACACCTTTAGTCCAGCACTCTGGAGGCAGAGGCAGGTGAATTTGTGAGTTCAAGCCAGCCTGGTCTACAAGAGCTAGTTCCAGGACAGCCTCCAATACCACAGAGAAACCCTGTCTCGAAAAACAAAGCAACAACCACAACAAAAGTAAGAATACAGTTCGGGGATGGGGATAATGGCAGAGTACTTGCACACACAAATCCCCAGCACTGAACCAAATAAACAAGTTGCATGATACACGCTTATAGTCCCAGAAACTAGCTGGTATAGGAGGATGGTTCAGAAGTTCAAGGCCATCCTCTGTTAAATACTAAGTTCAAGGTCAGTCTGAGATACATGAGACTTTGTCTCAAAAAATTTTTAAGTATGTAGAATAATTAATTTGTTCACATAGGGCTGCTGGGAATAGTTTTGCTTCCATTTGCCAGAAAACATATATACAAATCATTAGACAGAGCAGGGGAACTGTAAGAAAATGTTAAAAAGCTCACTCTGGGTCTGTCCATAAAAGATTAAAGTAAATTGGGTGTGGTGGCACATGCCTTTAATCTCAGTATGTAGAAGTCAGAGGCAGATGGATCACTGTGAGTTTAAGGCCAGCTTGTTCTACAAATCGAGTTCCAGGACAGCACGAACCATAGAGAAATCCTGTCTTGAAGGAAAAAAAAATTAAAGTAAGTCAAGTGTGGCGTGGCACACAGCTTTAATCCAGTATCCTGGAGGCAGAGGCAGGCGGGTCCGAGTTAGTGGCCACTCAGTGAGTTCCATCTAGAGCTCCTTTATGAGACCCTGACTCAAGAAACAACAAAGAAAGATTAAGGCAAGCTGGGCAGCACGGACCTGCTTCTTGGAATACTGAGGCAGGAATATAGAAAGTGCAAGAAGTGATTGAAGCCGGGCGTTGGTGGCACACGCCTTTAATCCCAGCACTCGGGAGGCAGAGGCAGGCAGATCTCTGTGAGTTCGAGGCCAGGCTGGACCGACAGCCTCCAAAACAGAGAAACCCTGTCTCATAAAAAAAAAAGAAGTGATTGAATTTATTCCTTGAATGGCCAGCCTGGGCAACTTAATGAGGCCCTGTCTCAAATTTCAAATGTAAAAAGCCGAGGATATGGCTCAATGGTAGAGTACTTGCTTAGTGTGTGCAATGCCCTCAGTTCAGCACCAGAATGTAAATACAAAATTAAAAAAATTAGAAGCACACCTCAAATTTCTAATAAAGTAAATTCCATGCCAGCCAGGTTTGGTGGTGCATGCCTATAATCCTAGCACTAAGGAGACTGAGGCAGAATTACCTCAAGTTCAAAGCCAGCATGGTTTATGTATCAAGTTCTAGACCAGGCTGGACTACATAGTAAGACCATATCCCCTCCCAGAAAATTGAACTTGAAGACTCATGTTCCTCTATCTCAGTGTCCTGAACACAAAATACTTAGGCCTGCATCTCCTCCTGCTGAAGTCAGGGCCTCACATGGCTCACGCTGGCTTCAAATATGCGACAGAGGATAATCTTGAACACCTGATCTTGCTACCTTCACTTCTTCAAGGGCTGGGATTGCAGGTGTGTGCCACACCTGCTCCAAATGTGATTGATCACTATTGCCATGATAAAAACTCATGACCAAGACCACCACCCTGCTCCAAATGTGGTTGATCACTATTGCGGTGATAAACTCATGACCAAGAACATTTATAAAGTAATCTGGAGCCAGGCATTGGTGGCGCACGCCTTTAATCCCAGCACTTGGGAGGCAGAGGCAGGCAGATCTCTGTGAGTTCGAGGCCAGCCTGGTCTACAAGAGCTGGTTCCAGGACAGCCTCCAAAGCTACAGAGAAACCATGTCTCAAAAAAAAAAAACAAAAATAAAGTAATCTGGGGCTCACAATACCAGAGTTCCTGCCCCCAGGAGGTAGGAGAGAAAGCACACTGGGAATGGAATGGACTTGACACGTGAGTGACAGACACACCTCCTAATCATTCGCAGAGTTCCACCAGCTGAGTACCAAATATTCAAATGCATGGGCCATTCTCCTTCAGACCATGGGGATAGAGAGAAGGATTGACAAAACAATTCAGCCAAAAAATTGCCAAACTTGTAAGACAAGAAATCTTATATTAAAATTTATTAAACCTCATACAGAGTATAATCATACAGAACCAACCACTGTATTGCTTAGAGATGGATTCATATGTAATAAAGACAATAGCAGCAGCTTTACCAAGATCCAAGAGTGGTTACAACTATGAAGGATTAAAAGAAAAAAAAGACTCAAACACAAATGAATTAACTCAAGTGACCTTAAAAAGGAAATAAATGTTCTTTAAAGTGCATCATAGATAAACTTTCACTTGGGGTGTAGCTTGGTGCTAGTAGTTGGCATTCCTGAAGTCCTGGTTTCTCCCCAGCACCATCCCTGTGTAGTTAGTTGGTGTACACCTGTAATCCTTGGATATAGAATAAATTAAATGTCATCCCTGGTGACATACTGAGCTCAGAGCCAGCTTGGCCACATAAGACCTTGTTCATACAATTTTCATATATGGGCCTGCAACATGATTCAGTGGGTAGTAAAGTTGCTTGCCATCAAACCTGAAGACCTGAATTTGATCCCTGGGGCCTACATAACAGGAGTGAAACTGTAAGCTGTCATCTGACCTCCATTCATACACTCTGGTACACATAAAGGCAAAATGCAAAAAAAATTTAAGACATTTTCATATACGGTAGACATCACAATAAAGAGGAAATCCTGAGTGCCGGCTTTCCCGGTTTTCCACCACACCAGGCTAACACACCACTTCTAACAGTGGCTTCTCACATCCACAGGCTGGCCACAGGCTCTCTGGTTCATCCTTGACAAGCATTAGCAGAGAGAGAGCTCTCATCTTGCATCCTAACAATCTGGTCTTCTGGTCTCCCACGTGTGGAAGATGGGAAAGCCACCAGTCCTGGCCCATTGTTCCCCAAATGGCTTGCTCCATAGAAGAGGCTGGCACTTACCCAGGAGCAAGAGACTCACATGGTACCCCTAACTCAGTTGCCTGGACCTAGTCAGTGGAGCCCCTCTTAATTTTTAAAATAACATCCACACAGAATGTTTGTTCTCATACTGCTTTGGCGATTAGTGGCCCAGTCAGTGACCATGCAGAACAGAGCCAGGCATAGCTACTGGGCTTTCCCAGAGGCCCAGGATAAGTCTGGGTCTGCAGAGCACCTCCTGTCTTTACTGAGCATGCTCACAAGCTTTTTAACAGTCAGGGTGACTTTGCCTGTAACTCCTCAGTGCCATGGATGCTCAACCAAGTGCATGTCCAGGAATGATGCATGGCTAAGCCTCGGTGGTTAAGGTCTGGCTCAGACACCGAGAGGCCTGTTCTTCCTGGTATGTCCTTTGGCTGTCCCTGCACCCCCCATGTCCTGTATTGTGGAGACTTGTGAGCTGACTCCTGAGCATCTAGGTAGGCCCAACATGGTCCCTTAAATGTAAGATGGAGTCACCTGTCCAGGACTGGGCCTAGGTCTACAGAACACCTATGAAAGGTGCCAGCTCTTAGGGAAGAAACCAGCTTTGGGGGCATACAGATATTTGTGGTTCTGGCTCTGCCACTGGGTGACTTGGCCAAGTGCCTATCTTTCCCTTTTTTCAATTTAATAAACCTTTATTGGACTCCCACAAAAATACATGAATTAAGGCCAAGCTAGTTTCTATTAGCTTAATGCTCAGTAAAATAGCCAATTGAATCCACAAGTGGAGTTCTAGACAGCCAGGATGAGTTACCAGGATAGTTATTGTCCCTCAAAACCAGAGGGCAGGGTAGAGAAGGCAACCTGAAGCCAGGTGGGTGCTCACATATGTAACTCCTGAAGATAGTGCTAGTCAGCCTGGGCTACACAGTGAAATCCTTTCTCAACAGCAAAACAAATGCCAACAAGATGGTTCATGAGGGAAAGGTACTTGCTGCCAAGACTAACAACCTGAGTTCAATCCCAGAGACCCACGTGCTGGAAGATGATCACTGACTCCCAAAAGTTGTCCCTGACCTCCACATATGTGTACACAATAAATATGCTTTTTAAAATACATAAATAAAAATCTGCAACCTGGTCCCTGGGCCAGCTAAGGAAGTTACGGTGGGATTTGTCCCTAAACCATCTCATAAACAGCCTAAACACTGCTTTTATTAGGGACACTCAAAGCCAAGGTATAGGAGGGATAACATCAAGGGAAGCATGTGATGCGGCCCAAGGCAACACATTTCCATGATGGGCACTGCTTCACGACCAACCTTGAAGGGTGTGTCTGCAGGCTGCTTGGGAGGTCTCCCCGCACTGTGCTACCGGGATGAACGAGGAGAGGGAAATCACTGCCTGCCTCTCTCCTATCCCCCCTTCATTGAAATTTCTTTCCCCCATTAGTATTAGTTTCCTTGGTTTTGGTGGCCCCATGGAATGCCAGATGTCATGTTCTATAGTGGGGCATTCCATCGAAGACTTGGGAAGAGAAACTCTAGGCGTATGGGTGGTGAAGGCCAGAGAGTCTGATGAAGTGCATTGATGTGTCCAGTACCTTCTAGCACTGAGATATCTTCCCCATGGTCTGGCCCTGGAAAACATGAAGACCCAGGGAGAGATCATGGGTTTCATGGAACAGGCATGAGAGTTTCCTGCTGGGGATTGATAGAAGAGCTTTCTAATTAAGGCCAATCTATGGCTCCATCTTCTCATCTGGCTAAGTGGCAGAAACCAGTAATCCCTGGAAGGTGAGGGACCAGATTTTGAAGAATCCACGATGGTGTCAAGAGCTTCATGTGGGCTTCCCCACCACTTCCTGTCTCCAGCTGAATTTTCACCTGCCCCAGAGATGACCTGGTCTCGGGCAACAGAGTCTTGGGTTAGAGAATCCAGGAAAGGGAGCTAAAGCCCCTGACCAGGAGGAAGAGGACCAGCTGTCTGTCCATATGTCTGTCCACTGTTGGCCTGAGGCATCGGGAGTTCTGGCATGCGCTGATGAGTTTTTTGGTGTTGCTTGAGATGGTCGGATCTCATGAACTGTCGGCCACACACTTTGCATTTATGTGGTCGATCTTTGGTGTGGATCCGTCTATGTCGTCCAAGCTCATCAGAGCGGAAGAAAGACCATGTACAGCCCTCCCACTCACATATGAAGGGCTTCTCACCTAGGGAGTAAAAAGGGAGAATTAAATTGAGTAGGAAAAGCTATGGTGGGAAGGAAGAGATCTAGTTCTAACGACAGAACCCACAAGGTTGAGAAATCACCAGGGAAGACAAAGGAACCAGTGTGAGGCAGGACCACCAGATGGGATGGCAAGTTAGTGAGACTAGGAAGGCTTGGCAACAAGCTTGGGAGAGAAAGTCAATCCCAAGCAATCTCAAATCAGTGGTCCTGCATTAAAAACAAGGGGGGGGGCTGACAATTGGCTCAGTGGTAAAGAGCATTTGTTGCTCTTGCAGAGGACTCGGGTTCAATTCCCAGCACCGACATGGTGGCTTACAGCCATCTGTTTAACTGTAGCTCCAGGGGATCCAAGCCTTCTTCTGGCCTCCATGGGCACCAGGAATGCATGTAGTATACAGACATGAGGGCAATAATTACCAATTCACATTATAACAATTCTACAAAGAGCTTTTTCCACCCCAAACCTCATTTACCTGTGTGTTTGCGTTGATGACTCACAAGGTGAGAGCGCTTGGTGTAAGCTTTTCCACAGTTGCTGTACGAGCAGAGGTAAGGCCTTGGAACTGGAGATGGCTTCCCGGGCGCCCTTCCTGGAACACTGGGGTTCTCTGTCCCTTGTGGAACAGGTGTAGACTGTTCACGTACAAAAGGTTCTCCCTGGCCACTTGGCTGGGTCACGAGTGAGTCCTGGGATTGTAAAGTGGGCAATGACGGGAGCCTAGCTGGGGGCATCCCCAGGCTACAGTGGTTTAAGTGCAACATCTGATCCATAGGGGGCGGCATGGCATGGGTCCCAGCAGGAGGCATGCCTGGAACCAACAATATTCCTGTGGTAGCAGGTACTGTCGTGGGCACAGAATATGACAGTGGTGGCACACTGCTGTGGGCCATTACTGGGACTCCACTGGAAGTGGAGCCTGACAGGCCACTATGAGGCATCATATTCTCACTGAAGGCTATGGCCACTCCCAGAGTACCTGGACTCCCTAAGGACATCATGTGGGATCCTGTGTCCATCACCCTCCCTGGCTGGTGGTTAGACTGTGGCGGACAATACATCTGAGAAGGTGCAGGAGTCAGCTGGGAGGAGTACATGGCACCATGTTCAGGTAGTGACATAATGATCCGCGACTCCCCTTCACCCTCGTTCTGCCTGGATAACATATAAGACCTGGACATATTTGGTAAGTGTTGAGTGGCCAGTGGCTGATGAACTCCATTGTTTCCAGAAGGTATCGACATATGCAACATTGATGTTGATGTCTCATTATCCTAAAAGAAAGATCATGTGAAAGGAAGTCCCCCTTCGCTCCTCTTCTAAGTTCCACACATATCTCCACCCCACGCCAAGAAGCGGGCCACGGAACTGACCATGAGTCAACAAAAGAATTTTAACTGGAGAAAGAGTTACCCACTGTTTCATTCTCTACCTCAGGCTGGCTGGGATTCACTGTGTAGCTGAGGGGGTTGCCTACTTCCATCAATCCCCCTGCCTCATGCTGTTGCTAAGGTTTAGGCATGAGTTACTATCCCAGACTTACAAATGGTATATTCATCAAGGAACCTAAACTAGTTTTGATTACTGGCCATTGTGATATTTGGGTCTTTTAGGGTGGAGTTCCATCTGTGAGAGTTTATCATCTTATTGGAATTTTGTACGGTTATGGAGCTTGTCATATCTCCAATGACAACAGGGATGTCAAACTGTCAATTCTCAGCTTTCCTGGACTCCAGAATGGGTACAAGATTAAGCCCAGAGCTAGCCAGTCATTGGTGGCACACGCCTTTAATCCCAGCACTAGGGAGGTAGAGGCAGAGGCAGGATGATCTCTGTGAGTTTCAGGACAGCCTCCAAAACAATGCAGAGAAATCCTGTCTCAAAAAACCAGAGGGGCTGGGTGGTGGTGGCGCACACCTCTAATCCCAGCACTAGGGAGGCAGAGGCCGGGCTGGACGAATAGCATCCAAAACAATACAGAGAAACACTGTCTCGTAAAACCAAAAAAAAAAAAAAAAAAAAAAAAAACCGAGCCGGGGAGCCCAGAGCTGGGGAAGATGTTTCAGTGAATAAAACTTTTACCACACAAACTCAATCCCACAGATCCTATGTAAATCCAGGCTCAATAACAAGAGTATCTGTAACTTAATGATATACATACAAAAATTTTAAAAACTATAGAAACCTTTCTTCCTGCACGTGGGTTCCAGGGATTGAACTCGGATCATTAGGCTTGGCAGCGCGCACCTTTACCTGCTGAGCCATCCCAAACCTCCTTTGTATCTGAGCAAATACTAGCTGTGCCTAATTGTTAAGCACTGTTTCATTAATGGTGCATGGAATGAGTCATTTTTATGCATGTGAAGATTTTGCTATTGACGATTCAAAATACTAATGACTCGATACTTTTAAATTAAACTTCAAGTTAGATTAAGGACTTCAGTGTAGTCAGAATACTAATGTGACTATTAGTCATTTGTGTTACATTAGAAATTTTAAGAGAATTCCATTGTTGGCACATCCATAACCTAACAGAAATAATTTTTTGAGATGATTTTTCTGTGTAGCTTTGTAGACCAGCCTGGCCTCAAACTCAAGAGATCCGCCTGCCTCTGTGAGTTTGAGGCCAGCCTGGTCTACAGAGCAAGTTCCAGGACAGCCTCCAAAGTTACACAGAGAAACCCTCGAAAAGACAAAAAAAAAGAACCTCCTTTTAAGGTAGCCAAGGATAGTGGCACACGCCTTTGATCCCTGTGGTTGGGAGGCAGAGGTAGGCTGATTTCTTTGAGGTCCAGGATAGCCAGACTATGTAAAGAGATAGTCTCAAAAAAAAAGGAAGGAAGGAAGAGGAAAGGATGTGTGGGGGATTATTTATTTTGACAGGGTTTCTGTGCAGCCCTGGCTGTCCTGAACTCTAGACCAGGCTGGCCTCACACTCAAAGATCCTCCTGTTTGCCTGGCATGTGTTTATGGATTTGGTGTTCACCACCCCTGCCTGGCTGTACCTGCACCTCTCATTTTCCAGTCCTTCACAGGCACCTACTGTCACAGGCACAGCACTTCAAGTAGACTAGCCTGTGTCCAAAACTCAAGATACCCTAACCACAATCCCAGTCTGTCTCAGAAAATCTCATTCCACATACCCAAACCTGCCAGTGAGAAGTCTGCCGGGCTATCCTCGGCTATTCCCACCACCTAGATCTAAGTACAGCTGTGTTTTTGTATCCACAGGGAACTGAGCCCACGGTCTCATCCACTGATATTCAGGTTCCTTGGATAAACTAGTGTCTGCTTTCAAGTTTGTACAAATTCCCTTTATACCTTTTTTTTTTTTTTTTTGGTTTTTCGAGACAGGGCTTCTCTGTGGCTTTGGAGGCTGTCCTGGAACTCACTCTGTAGACCAGGCTGGTCTCGAACTCACAGAGATCCGCCTGCCTCTGCCTCCCGAGTGCTGGGATTAAAGGCGTGTGCCACCAACACCCGGCCCTTCCCTTTATATCTTAAATCACCTTTTGACTACTTATTTTATACGGTGTCACCACAAGAGCTGTGTGCTTGCAGAACCCTCAGACACAATCACCAGTTCTGGTTGTCTTCAAAACTCCCTATGTTCAGTTTCTCCTTCTCTACCGTGTGTTAACTGTGCCCGCCATTTTAACTCGAACCTGGATCTTCACGACAGCTTTCTAATTATTGCCTTGAAGCCAGCATCCCTATTCTCTAACAGCACTACTGAGTGAGTGAGTTAAAAGGCTTTCATTTTGTTGTTATTGTTGTTGTTACTATGGACAGGTGTGGTCCTACACACATTTAATCCAAGCAAAAATAAACTGGGCATGGTGGCCTTAATCCCAGCACTGGGGAGGCAAAAGCAGACCAGTCTCTGTGTCTGAGGCTAGTCTCTACATAGCCCATGTCTAGAGACCCTGTCTCAAATAAGATTATTAAATTATTTTTCTGAAGTGGGACATGGGCTGGTCGGTGGTGTACGCCTTCAATCCCTGTGAGATTTCATCTAGTCTACAAAGCAAGTTCTAGGACAGCTGGAACCATTACAGAGGAAACCCTGTGTCAAAACAAAACAAAACAAAAAACCCCAAAAAACCCAAAACCCACGAAAAATTGTGAGTCCCAGCACTCGGGAGGCAGAGGCAGGTGGATTCTGAGTCTGAAGCCAGTCTGGTCTACAGAGTGAATTTCAGGACAGTCACGGATACACAGATAACCCATCTTTAAACAACCCCCCAATTACACTATAATCAGTAAAGTCTGGCAAAGGGCTCCAATAAATACATTTCCTCTCCGTCCTTCCCATGATACACAAATTCCTCTTTGCAATCACTCAAATGCCTGCTCTATAGAATGAGTTCCAGGAGAACCAGGGCTGCACAGAGAAAATGTCTTTGACCCCCCCTCTCCCCTGCAAAATTAACTCACGCTATAATCAGTGGAGTCTGGCAAAGGGTGCCAGTAAGTAACGTTTTTCTTCCCCACCCTTCCCATGGCACGCAAGGCTGAGTCGAACCGCCCCACCTTCACTAAAAAACCTCCCTAAACAAATCCCCCACCCTTCACCACCACCACCACGCGGCAGCACCCTAGGGTGGACCACAGACTCACCGTGGGAGACTGGTGCGCCGCCTGCCACCTATCTTCCTGCTCCATGTCGGTCCAGGCCCAGCTTCAGACCACAGGGGAGGCTGACCCGACTGGTGCCGTCACAGGCAAGTGTCTCAACGCCACAATCCCTGGGGCGTGGAGCTTCTAATTGCTTCGGAGCCTGGGCGGAGTCAAGGCCGTCCACCCAGTACCCTCCCACTCGACGCTCATCCAATCCCACAACTCCTTAGAAGGCCTTTTGTTTTGTTTTGTTTTGTTTTCCTGTCTGTCTTGGAACTTGTGCTGTAGACCAGGCTGACCTTGAACTCACAGAGATCCACCTGCCTCTGCCTCCCAAATGCTGGGATTAAAGGCGTGAACCACCACCGCCGGCCTGAACTTTACCACTTTTTTTTTTTTTTTTTTTTTTTTTTGGTTTTTCGAGACAGGGTTTTGGAGCCTGTCCTGGAACTCGCTTTGTAGACCAGGCTGGCCTCGAACTCACAGAGATCCACCTGCCTCTGCCTCCTGAGTGCTGGGATTAAAGGCGTGTGCCACCAACGCCCGGCGAACTTTACCACTTTTTAAAAACACTGTGTCTGCTCTTCTTTACCTACATCCTCCAACCTACAGTCTGAGCAACTGTTTAACCCAAAGCCGTGATGCAGAAACCACGATCTGAGACTCAGCCAATAAGTCGCTTTGACCTCAGAGTGGAGAAACTGAAAAGTCTTGGTGACAGAGGCAGGGCAAACGCACAGCTTCTGTTGACAGAAGGGACGCCACTATCTCTCCAGACCCAAACAGAAGGCTTTTATAGGGAAGGATGGATGGCTCCTGCTAAGACTGGGCACTTCTGTTTTTTCTGAAGTTCAGATGCCCCACAACACAATTTGGGTGGTGTGTTGGCACTGATTCTCTGTAACTCCATTCCAGGAGACTGGATGCCCTTTTCTGATTTCCTAGAGCTCCAGGTATCAACGTGGTACACACACATATGCAGGCAAAGCTCTCATAAACACAAAAATAAATGTAAAAATATTTTTTAGAGAGAAATAAACCAGGCAGAAAGTTCTCTGAGTTTAAGACTATCCTGGTCTATATATTGAGTTCCCTGATGGTGAGGGCTACAACAGTGAGACTCTGTCTCAAAAATAAAATTTAACTTTTGAATCTGGGCATAGTGGCACACCTGTAACTTGAGTGTTTGGGAGGTAGAGACATGAGGATCCTGAGTGTGGAAACAGTGTAGGCTAAATGGTAAGTCTCTGCCCCCCAAAAAAACAAGCAAACACAAGTGAGCTACAGAATAAAACCTAGCTATTTCCACAGGACCTCTGACAGATTGGAGCAAAACAAAACTGTGTGTGTGTGTGTGTGTGTGTGTGTGTGTGTGTGTGTGTGTGTGTGTGTCACTCTAAAACAGCATGAGCCAAAGTTAGTGCTTCACTGGGTTGATGCTGCGACAAGGATGTCCCCAAGTCCTTGGGAATGCCCTTCCCTTTAATGGGAACACTAACAGGGTGGTGCTCTGTGGGGATGGGTTCCTTATTTGGACAGGATGTTCTGGTTGTCTATGCAGCATCCAGTTGGGGATTGGCTAGAAGCCTAGAAAGTAAATCTGGGTGGAATGGTAGATTTCAGACTTGAAGCCTCAAGGATAAATTCACTGGGGATTTGAACAGGGAGAGAGAGGGCTCAGGACACACTTGAGCCCAGGTGTGAGAGTGATCAGTGAAATGAACCAATAAGACAGGAAATTTAAAGTCAATTTTTCCTTACTAGCCCTGTTCAGGTTTTTGTTTGTTTTTTTCAATAAAGGGTTTCTCTGTGTAGCTCTGGCTGTCCTGGCGCTTGCTCTATAGACTAGGCTGTCTCAGAAATTGGAGATCTGCCTGCTACCAAGTACTGGGATTAAAGGTGTGTGCCACCACTGCCCACCCTGTTTTGTTTTGTTGGGTTTGGGTTTTTTTTTCTAAATCAGGGTTTCTGTGAGTAACTTTAGTTGTTCTGGAACTCTCTCTGTAGACCAGACTGGCCTCTGCCTCCTGAGGGCTGAGATCAAAGGCATATGCCACCAGGTTCTAACAAATTTTTCCCCCAAGACAGAGTTTCACTATGTAACCCAATCTGACCTGAAACTCACAGAGGATAGGACAGAGGTAGGACAGCCAGAACTACATGGTGGGACCCTATCTAAAACAACAAACCACGTTTTTGTTTTTGTTTTGTTTTTCGAGTCAGGGTTTCTCTGTAGCTTTGGAGGCTGTCCTGGCACTCTGTAAACCAGGCTGGCCTTTAACTCACAGAGATCTGCCTGCCTCTGCCTCCTGAGAGCTGGGATTAAAGGTGGGCCAGACCCCACTCTGATTCAAATCAATGGGTTTAATCTTCAGATCCACGAAAAAAAAGATGTTAAACACATAAACTCAAAGAACAGAAGCTGCAAAGGTGTTCAGGCCCTGAGATATCATTTAGGGAAAGTTATTATTTATTGTTGTTTGAGACAAGGTCTTGCTATGTAGTCCTGGCTGTCCTGGAACTCACTCTGTAGACTGGCCTCAAAATCACAGAGCTCCACCTTACTCTGCCTCCTGAGTGCTGGGACTAAAGGTCTGCACCACCACCTTGGCCTATGAAGTTCTAAAACATGCAAAGGAATGTGTTGTGGTGGTGTCGCTGTGGTGGTGGCGGCGGCAGCGACAGCGGCGGCCCACACCTTTAATCCTAGCACTCAGGAGGCAGAGGCAGATGAATCACTGAGTCTGAGGCCAACCTGTTCTACAAAACTACAGAGAAACCCAGTCTCGAAAAAACCCAAAGGGGAGGCACACAAAGGAATTCTAGGTATTTATGGATATTAATTCACTCGTAGGAGTGACAAGTGTCCCATTTAAAATGGTAACAAGAAAATGTTGAAGCCGGGCTGTGATGGCACACGACTTTAATCCCAGCACTGTGGAGGCAGAGGCAGGCGGATCTCTGTGAGTTCGAGGCCAGCCTGGTCTACAGAGTGAGTTCCAGGCCAACCTCCAAAATAATACAGAGAAACCCTGTTTCTAAACCCCCCCCCAAAAAAAGCCTAGCAGTAGGCAGGGAACTTCAGTCCCTCCGGAGGCTGCTGCAACAGCTAGCCAGACGGGGTCCCTGTCATGGGTGGATGAACAATCATTAAACCTTGCTTTTGCAGTTTAGTGGGTCTGTCTTCCTGGTGGTCTCTGGGGACTTTGCAACTTGGGCACAACAGTTCTAACAAGTTTTTTTCCCCAAGACAGAGTTTCACTATGTAACCAAGCTGACCTGAAACTCACAAAGATCTTCCAAGAGCTTGTACAAGTGGCTTGAATTATTTGTCCTATCAAATTATTTAAACCTTAGCTGGGCGTTGGTGGCACACGCCTTTAATCCCAGCACTCGGGAGGCAGAGGCAGGTGGATCTCTGTGAGTTAGAGGCCGGCCTGGTCTACAGAGTGAGTTCCAGGACAGCTTCCAAAACAATACAGAGAAATCCTGTTTCAAAAAACAAAAAAAAATATTTAAACCTTGTTTTTGTTGCTGTTATTAATGTTATTGTTTCTGTCCCTTGGGAAGAAGGAAAGTCAGTAACCCAGGTTGTGTCTGTGGCTCTGCCTCGCTGATTAGGGAGGGGACTGGGAAACTGCAGCCTGGGGAGAAATAAAACTTCAATCATAGTGTGGACACCTAGAATAGTCTCTGTCTTCCTGGAGTATTAAAATCAAGGCCCTTTATATTCATTGGCTTATGGAGACTAATGAGAGCTTACATAAAGCCAATTTTTCCCTAAAAGAAACAAAAAAAAATTTCTTGTATAAAGTGCTAGTAAGAAGTTATTTCTAAAGCCGGGCATTGGTGGCACATGCCTTTAATTCCAGCACTCGGGAGGCAGAGGCAGGCGGATCTCTGTGAGTTCGAGGCCAGCCTGGTCTACAGAGTGAGTGCCAGGATAGGCTCCAAAGTTAGAGAGAAACTCCGTCTCTAAAAACCAAAAGAAAAATAAGTGGTTTGTTGTTTTGGACAGGGTCTCACCATGTAGTTCTGGCTGTTCTACCTCTGCCTCCCAAGTGAATGCTGGAATCAAAGACTTGCACCACTTTTCTTGGCTCAGAGTATGCAACTTTTAAAACAATTTTGAGCCAGGCAACACTTGGGAGGCAGAGGCAGGTGGGTCTCTGAGTTTGAGGTCAGCCTGGTCTACAGAGCCAGTTCCAGGACATTCAGGTCTACACAGAGGAATTCTGTCTTGAAAAACAACAAAATTTATTCATTATACCTGTGGCTGGGTGCCTCTGCCCACCATTCCTGAACACATTAAATAACCAGTCAATGTAGTATTTTCCAAAAAAGTGCAGAGTGTGTGCAGAGTGTTGGCTTTTATGTAAGCACAGGAAGTAAGAGGCCTGCTTCTGTCCAATGTGGGCAGTGGCAGCGGCAGAAGGGTTCAGAAGGGAATGCATCTGGGGACCACACTGTGGTAGGTGGATGGGGTGGAAGGAGTTCGGGGATGAGAAGGGGGAGCTTCAATGAGCAGACTTTGTACAGTTCTGAATTCTATTCTTATTTATTCTTTTGAGATCTCCACTGACGGCAAAGGCGGTGGCTGCATGGGCGCCTGGACTCCCGGAGCTGTGGTGAAGTCTGGCCTGTTCTGTCCTGGTCTTTCTTGGTTTCGCCCAGCCCAGGCCCAGGGCAGCTGGGCTGCTGCTTGCCTGGGATGATGTTTGTCTCCTCCAGCACCTCTCACCTACTCTCTCCCCTTCTCTCTGCATTTGCTTCAGGAGGCTAAACTTCTCTAGAGCCTCTTGCTCCTGCAGTCTCCTAACGGTCTTTCGTTTCTTCTCTGGTAGTTTTCCCAGGAATTCCTTTTCCTTTGCTTCACATTTTTCTATCAGGATCACAATGAAAAGATTAACAACAACGACAAAACCTTTGAGAAAGGAAAGGAAGAAGAAAGGCTAGGCAGTAAAGAGCTCTAGCTGATACTGCAAGGGCAGCATATACTCTGGGCCATGAGTCCCTTGGCCCTTCTCTCCATCTCCATCTCCACTCTCCTCTCTCTCTCTCTCTCTCTCTCTCTCTCTCTCTCTCTCTCTCTCTCTCTCTCTCTCTCTCTCTCTCTCTCTCTCTCTCTCTCTCTCTCTTTCTCTCTCTCTCTCTCTCCCTCTGTGTG